ACAGTGATCCTTCTGCTTCAGCCACCTGAGTGCTGGGATTACAGACGTGCACCACCATGCCCAGTGACTTGAACTTTTTAAAAGATCACTCTGGATGCTGCTGGGGTGAGGGTGAGGGAGAGAGGAGGTAAGAGTGGAAGCAAAGAAATAAGTTAGGACTTTATTATAGTAACCCACATGAGGAATATTGGTGGATTAGACCAGGATGCAGTGAAATAGACAGTTAGAAGTGGTCAGACTCTGGATTCATTTTGGAAGTAGACAGAGAAAATTACTGAACATTTGGATGTGAGAGCAACCACTGAGTGACATTCCCGGCCTAATTCTCAGATTTTTTTTTTGAGACAGAGTCTCATTATGATTTCTCTGGCTAGTCTTGAACTTGTGGGCTCAAGTGATCCTCCTGCCTCAGCCTCCTGAATAGCTGGGAATTCAGGCTTGTGCCACTATGGTTGGCTCCATTTCCCAGACTGTTGACCTTCAAAACAAGAAGGATAAATTTATCATTGGCTGAGATAGCAGAGACTCAGCCCCTAAAGGGGATGACTGAGAGTCCTTTTCAGTTTGAGATGCTTACTCGTCATCCAAGTGGAGAAATTGAGAAAGAAGTTAGATGATACATTTGGACCTTTGGGTTGAGTTGGAAGCTGAAGTCATCGGCATGTGGACTGGTTTGGCAATGGGACTGGCCAGGATCGCTTACCCACGGAAAAGATGTTGAAAGTCAGACCAGAGTGCTGGGGATACTCACATGTGGTACCACATCCAGTTAGATTCTGTCTTTATGGGCAGGGTGTTGTGTGCCTACTGGGAGGGAAGGAACTGGTAGGGCTTCTTCAGAGGCCGGCTGCCACTGGGAGGCCTGGGGCAGTCCAATGTCAGAGGACTAAGAGATGAGATATTTCTAGCAAAGAGAATGTGAAGGAGCAGCCAGCCAAGTAAGAGGAGGAAGAGCTTTGAGCACTTTAGCCTTTGCTTTCATCCATTTCCTTTACAGAGAAAGTGTGATTTCTCTCTTCTGTTGCTTTCCCAGAGAGGCCAGAGCAATGGTAGGAGGGCTGTGGCTGCAGTCTGGGGCCAAGTGAAAATGTTGGGGAGGAAGAGTTAATCTTCCAAGTGAGAGTTGGGATTTCTTCTCATTCTTCAGTTGAAAGCACTGAGAAGCACTTTAAGGGCCAAAAGAGAAAGTTTGGGAGCTGAAAGGGCCCCCAGGCCCCAGCAGCTCCTGGGAGTTGGCCTCTGGAACAGGGTCTCATCTTTGGTTAGAAAAAGTTGATGTGTTTTTCAGTCCTAAGTCAGCTTAGTCTAGAACAGTCAAAAGAGTGGGTTCCCTGGGTTTATTTTTATATCTTTCCCCAAATGGAAGCTTTTAAAATTATAAATACAACTTATTTTTATGTAAAACTTTTGGATAATACAAATAACAAGCCAGGCATGGTAGTGTACTTGTAGTCTCAGCTACTTGGGAGGCAGAGGCAGAAGGGTTGCTTGAGACTAAGAGTGCACAGAACACAGTGAGACCTGCCCCCAAAGGAAGAGGAAAAAGAAAAAAGAAAAAATATAAAGTAACAAAGTAAAGCTCAGAAAATATC